GAATAGAATTGTCATGAGAACCATAACAGTAGTATATTCAAAATTCATTAATAATAACCATAGCTTGGATTTAAACAAATTATTTATCAGAAGATAATTTTCTTCAAATCAAATTATTCATTGTAAGCAAACCTTTAAAGATATCTTTTGTGATGTCAAAAGCCATGGATCTATTCGAATTAAAGCAATCCAAAAAAACAACCAATCTAAACATGTCCGATGATTCATTATAATTAATGCTGGTTCACTGTGGTCTATTTTGATACCAGATATTGTCACACGTGCACCAAAAAACATTTCAATAAGACCCTGAAATAAGAAAAATTATGATAAGACAAAAAAATTAAACATTAAATATAGCAAGATATCATTCCTTCATCTTATCTCTCTTTCTTTTTTCTTTTTTTTCTTTCATTTACCCATATCATTCATCTTATCGAAATATTTGATAATTAATTTAAAAGAATTTAAATAAAGGAAAAAGAAAAGGAAATAAATACAATAAAACTAATAAGAAGATAGGAAATGATTCAATCATAATTGTTTTATATTTATTTGTTTAATTAATTTAATATTTATTCAACTATTTTACAACTATTCCATTCGATAATTTGAATGCAATCGGCAAAATAATCAATAAGTAAAAAGCAATAAATTAATAAATATTACATGATTAAAATTAAAAAGTAAAAAAAAAAGAAAAAAACAAAATGATACTTACACATGGCATAAGGATCCAAAAACCAATAAGTCGATCAATTATTCTCCTCCATAATGTATGATTGAGAAACATTAAAGGTAGAAGTGGTATAAGAAAATACATTGAGCTTAATATTGCAGATAATATGATAAATGTACAACAAAATATACCCCTAATTTTCATCCATAATGTTGTATGTGTTAATGTTGATGGTTCACCCATTTTATAAATAAATAAAATGTCACCTGAAAAAAAAAAAGGAAACAAAAATTTATTTATAAATTCGATTAAAATAATCAAATATTTCACATTTTTTTTATAGTTTAAAAAACAAAAAAAAAAAAAAAGCAAAAAATGATGAATGAAAAAATTACTCTTTCATCTCAATTTTTTT